ATACCAGTGACCTTTAACATGGATGTTCTGTTACAGATTTCTGCTGTAGTCAGATGTGATATAGTTACTGTCCAAGTCAATCCAGACCACTCTTTGCACAGTTGCGTTGGGCACTTTTTTGCTCTGTGTAAAGTGCGGTCACTTCTACTTGCCCTCAAGTTTGTACAGGCAGATGTCATAGGATTTTGATCAATATCGTCACAAGCAAACTGAAGGGAAGCATTTGGGTAATATTATGAAAATAAGCATATGGTTATGCAGAGTAACCAAAAACGCAGCTGGTCCCTGGCGTTGACAGCCAGCAGTGTCTTAAGATCAGCTAACTTCTTCTACCTGTGGATATTTAGAACAGAATTTTTTGAGCTCATGGTGTTCTCTCATTACATGTGTTTTGATTTAGATGGCTCTTGAAACACATGGAAAACAAGAGGAAAAGCAGAAAGACTTTATCTCCAGATCTGCAGCTGCAGTTAACGGGGATGCAACTTGCCTGAAAAAAGGGACAGTCAGGAAATCTGAAGGCTGGTTACCTACATCTAGCGTATCGAGGGAGAGGGAGATAGCGGACCCACTGCTCCAGCAGATTGACAACATCACATCCTTCATTAAGCAAGCAAAGGCAGCTAACAGGATAGACGAGGTCCACATGTTGCAAGAGAACCTGAGGCAGCTTCAGGATGAATATGATCAACAACAAACTCTGAAAGCTATTGAGCTTTCTAAAAAACAGGCAGAAGAGGAAGAGATGCAGAGGGAGGAACTTCAGGTTCTTCATGAAAAAGAATGGGAAAGAGAACACCACAAGTTAATGTCCCAGCATTCAAAGACCCGCTCCTTAGACTTCAGAGAAGTTAAACAGCATCAGCGTGAAGTTGCAAAAGAGACTCGGAACTTGACAGCACAGGCATTGGATTTGGATATTAGTCAGATCAAAAGGGACCCAGGTTTTGAAACTCCTGCTGTTGAGCAGCTGCCAGCTAAAGAGCACTTGATCTTCACGCTCAAACCCCAGACTGTCCCACAGTGTGACACAGACCAAGATCAGGCAGCGGGTCTAAACCCCTTTGAAGATGAAGCAGATACCCCACAGCTAGAGGAAGATCCTGATAACCCATTTGCCAAAGACACTTCTCCAGTGGTTTCTGTCTCTAACACAGCTCTGCAAAGTGATAAAAAAGAATATAATCCATTTGAGAATGAGGAGGAGGATGAACAAACCAGTGGAGCACCTGGCAGTAGTTCAAACCCATTTGAAGAGGATGAAATTACATTGGAAAAGCCTGGGGGTAGTTGGAATTCTGGGAATCCATTTGAAGAGGGATCCTCTACCAATCCCTTTGAAGTGGAGGATGGCAGTGAGATCTCTGGAGAGGAGGCTATAGAGGAAGAACTGCTGCTCCAACAGATAGATAACATCAAAGCTTATATTTTTGATGCCAAACATAGTGGCCGAATGGATGAGGTGGAGGTACTGACAGAGAACTTAAAGGAATTGAAGCGCACATTAGCAAAGCAGAAGGAGAAATCCAACTGCTGAAGCAGCAACAGGGCTGTGTAATAATTATTTAAATTCTGCTGTCAAATGCAGGGAGGTAGAACAGATACTTAGGAGTACAGATCACAAGAGGGAACTGGGAGAATCTTGACTTTATGCACTTTCAATTAGGCATTTCCACTACTACTCAGTCTTGAAGAAAGAATTACTGAGGTATGCTGCTGGTCTCAAATGCTCATACTAAGAAATTTTAAAGTAACTCTACAACACACTTCTAATGCTCACTGGTGTTACTGTGTGCTTATTTTGGTCAAAGCGGTGAAGCGCTAGTAGGGAACTGTGATTTGGAAAAGGTTGCAATGTTGGTTTCTCATCGTTCCCCCTTTCTGTTGTAGTATTGGCCTTTCGAGTAGGGCTTTGAGTGAAGAGAGATGAGAACTTTTCTGAAACTCCTGCACCCTCTGATAGTGACACAGTGCAGTTACAGGTGAGCTTAGTTGCCTGTGAGAAAGAGCTGGTAAAGGCTGCTGTGAATCTCTGAGGTGCAGAATATATGGATTGCAGATCAATTTTGTGCAATGCTTATACATAAAAGGGATTTTAAGACTAAGAAAAACTTTGTAAGTGATCTTAGTATGAGTAACTTTTTATTTAATGTGTTTATGAAAATTCCCAAGTCAGATTTGGATGCTGTCTTTTCAGCCCTGTTTGCTCTGAGTACAAACTACAGTGTAAGAGAGCGAGCCACGCTGGCTTCAGAGACCTGCTTGTGAGGTAAGGAGTATCTCCTCATTTCCAGGGAAAAGAGCAGCAGGCTGGCACCACTGCATACTGTAACATAAAGGGCGACCTTCCAAGTCCTAATTATCTTCTGGACCCTACACATTCCTTTAAATTCTCTGGGTGACAGAATGATCATGTTTGCCGTATTTGTGAGACTGGAACCCTCTTTCTGTAGCATTCAAGGTGCAAGTCTCATTTACTGTGGAAAGCTGAAGTGCCACTGAACTGGAATTCTGTGAAAGCTGGGAGACAGTCGGTGGCTGAAATAGTGCCAAACAGCAATTTTCTGTCATACTTGATTCCCCTCAGCAAGCTGCTAGGAGAATGAGGCACGTCTGTCTTAAGCTCCAAATGGAGTGAGTAATCTTGTGATCCTGTGACCCGGGGGATGACAAGGTGATGGCCATCACCTGTGACACAGGAGGGTTTCTGGAGATTGGCATCAGAAATGCAGGATCACCTCAGGGCTAGGTCAGCCTGCTCCTCTGCGAAGGATGCAGCCTGAGCTGCTCTGGTTTCTGTCTGTGAAAGGCAGAGGTCCACCACTGGGCATCAGTGTTTGAACGGGTGGTGGGGAGGAGTTAGTCTAAAGGTGTGTTTATTTCAAGCTCAAATAAAGGGAAACTGGGGAGATCAGACTGTATAGCACTGATAATAGTGGGCTTACTGGGAAGTGTAAACTTCTATGGGATGGCACATCTTAACAATGTCTCTAACAGTGTGGATGAGCAAAGCTGTAACCCAAGCATTGCGTAATGTTTTAGTGACACAAATAATTACGCTGCCTAAAGAGCAATAAGTCTAGTTTATTTTGCTGTGAATAAGTGGAGACAGGGACTTGTGGAGCTGTTGTTTAAAAACCCAAATCACCTATATCCTCACTTAACAGCACTAATAACTGATCAAAATAACTTAAAGCAGGCAGTTACGGACAGCTGGTCCTTACGGTAGGCTAAATCTGAAGTTGAAAGGTGTGCTGACAGGCTCTCTTAAGACCATGAAGTTTTTATCCTGAGATGTGTGGTGTTAGAGTTGATGGAATCCCTGAGTTATTTTGCACCAAGTGGAATGAAGAACAGAAGATTCTGTAAGGTCATAAACTAACAAAATGTGCGCTGTGGCACTAGAGCTACGAAGGCAGCAAAAACCAGATGTTACAATAGCGAAACGTAATCCCTGGAATTGTCTGCTTTAGCAGAACTTGTATAAGGTGGTTATTTAAGACAGACTTGTTTGCCAGTCAAGAGGATTGCTCCCTACACTGTAAGCCAAAGCTTTTTTTGGTACCAACATGAAAAAAATATTTCAGTGGCTTCAGCTTTCACATTTAAAAAGTGGGTTTTTTTTCCTTATTGCAATTATCCTGCCTTGTTTGTATTTTCAGTCTAATACACTAATAATTAAAGTATCCTTATTGTACATGTAATAATGTATTTTTACAAGCAGATAACAGACTAGCATACCTCATGATCTTTGTCAGTGTTACATGTGATGGACTAAACATCTGATACTAAAGTCATCTCCAGAGCGAAGACCTTACGCTGGCATTTGGGCTGCTGTGAGGCGCACGAGGCACAAGGGAGTGAGGACATCTTCACCGTAAAGCTCTATAGATAACTAGCACTGAGTTTTGTTACAATTGCATGCACTTCTCTGTATGGAAGCTTTGTAAACTGAGATTAAATAAACCAACATGTTTATTTTGTGCTGTTTGTCCTTGACAGTTTTTACAGGATGCTTGAATTGGTGTGAAGTTCTGTACTTGACCATTAGCTCAGAAATGGTGAAACAGCTCTGCAGTAATTTGCAGACCTGTGCCTGACTTAAAGGGGTGTGCAGTTACCAAATTCCAAGCAGTACAGTGCAGTCTATCATATGTTTATATACTGTTACAGCTATAGTGTGATTGTTGGGTGAGGCAGAACCTGTGACCATTAAGGTTTTTCCGACCATGTGCAGGGAGCAGGAGTGTCTGAGGTAAGAGGAGCTGGAGAGCAGCGCTTCCTGGCTAGAATTTGCTGGAAGATGATCAATCTAGACACAGTTCTCCTTTGTATGGTTGCTTTTTAAAGGAAGACTGCTTAGGGAAATTGTCTTAAGAGCAGCTTTAAATTGTTTTGAAGGACAACAAAGACAATGGTAAAGCATCTCTCTTAAATTCCAAGTTAATGTTCTCCTTTACTGCTGATACTCTTGACTTGATCAGTGCTTCTCAGAGCTGCAGTAACAAAAGTTGTATCTCCTTGTAGATGAGACTTTTAACTGTGTCTGAGAGGTAATTCAATAAAATGTACTTTGGGCCTGGATTTACATTATTATTGGGCTGTCTTCAGTTAGTACAAGATAAAATGAGCAGGCAGACTTTTATGTGACTTTATAAATTGTAGAATTCTGTGCTGCTAGGTTCTCTATCCCAAAGCAAACATGATCTTGTTTCTGCCATGACCTTATACGGGCAGGCAGGAGTAGGAAATACAGCTCTAGTCCTGCTGTTTCCTTTTAATCAGTGTTGACTGTAATGTTTTGTAAAACTGGCACAAAAAAAAGCTGGCTTTTTAACTTTATTTATTTTTCACTTTAATTATTCTAGCTGTAGCTCTAAGAAGACGTTGGAGAGGAGGTTATCTGTGTTACATGAAGTCATTTGTGAAACTATTGGCTCTTGTCTCTCTCTGAAGTGCCTTTCCAGCCCTGAGGAAAAACAACTGCATGACGTGAGAGGTCAGGCAGATGCTTCCTTTTTAAATGCAGCTTTATATTTTCCCCTCATCTCTTTGGGCAGTGGCACAACAGCAGGGCAGGGAACTTGACCTTCAATTTCACACATGCATTCGCGCAGATGGTACTTCTTGGGCCCAAAAGTTGCTGGAGGTGATAGTTTTTTCCTTTCTTTTTCCTCTTTTTCAAGTGTCTCTCTAGAAAAAGACATGTGCTGTTACCATCAGAAGCCTGCTTGGCACTATTTCCTCACCCTTCGTGGGACTCGGTTCCCCAGAAAGATGGATTTACAGTTCTGAGCTTGTGCATTTTAGCCAGGTCCTGCCCAGGGCCGTTTCCTTCCGTGCACCCGACACAAGGGGGCAGGGACTGTATGATGATGCATGCTGGACTGTACATTACCTTATTAAGCGTCACTTACTTGCTTTTCCCCAAGATTTTTCTAATGTGCTCAGTTATTTCTTTGTTGGTTTTATCTTCCACATCAACCAGAACTTGTTCTCCGTTGTCTGTAAGAGAGATTTGTTAAGGGTACATCGCACAGCGCCCTGCCGTACCGCGGGCTGTGTCACAGCAGCTGCACGAAGCGTTTTAAACCCAGAGCAGCGGCTCTGCTGCAGGTAACGCACGAGGTCACGTTCCGAGAGGAGGAGCGGAGCCCCCAGCGCGGGGGGAGGCAGGGCCGCGGGGCCCCTTTTCTCACCAAGTGCCTCAGTGCCTCCACCCCCGCGGGGACCGAGCGGCAGCGACAGGAGGCGGCGGCGCCGCGCGTCCAGCGGGAAACCCGGGGAT